TCTCTTCGTCATAACAAAGCACTTACCCCTCTGCTTACGCCAATGGCAACGATTCGCACCCTTTCATCGCAGTCTCTTTGTTACAGTGGTACTAAGAAAACTAAAAGATCCCAGTCTGATATATCCCTATTTGTATAGTTTACTGCAACTTACTACTTTGATCGCATCTAAAAGTCTTTGTCCATCTTATCATGACTAACATATGTCAAGTCTTTAGGGTAAATTTTGCATTTATTTCTCCAAAATTAACATATATTTCACTTAATTGCGTCTTTTTTTTTCCTCTTTACTCACTAACGCTTGCTGACCAAGAGTAATAGAATCTTTAATTTTTACAAACTTCGAAAACTAGCTGCAATACTTTAAGAGGTTCATTTATTGAAAATTCTGGAATTTTTTCAAGAATATTATAAACAAAAAATAAAACTAAATATTTCCTAAACTTTAGCTACAGCGTAACAGTTTCTGGAAAGAAAGTATGAGGTTGAATGAAAAACAGCAAAAACGTATTTTTTTAAAGATGGTTCTTCAAAACTCAATTCAACATTACTGTGGAAAGAAAAGGACCCATTTTTTTTTTTCAAAAAAAAGGAATTCCACTCTCCTTCTTGGACCACAGGATATTTACCTGACAACCTTGTCCACTTGTTATATTGTAATAACCGTCCACACATTTCTCACACATATTACCGTCCACGTTCTCACGGCATTCACATTTTCCTGTAGCATTGTGACAGCGTCCATCATCTACAGCACCGTAGGTGTTGCAGTGGCAAAATTGACAGCCATTTTCCGAAAAATTGAAATAACTTGGCCGGCACATGTCACAATGCTTCCCAAACACTCCCGTTTTGCAGGCACACTGAAAACAACTGTTCGCCTCAGCAGATCGAAGAAGAATGGAAAACAAAAAGACTTGCTAGTAATTATTGAAAACTTAGTAATTTTGAATCAAGAAAATCCACAAAAACGAGATGTTTATTTTTCATGATCACTAGCTTCAAACTTACCAGTAATCTGTTACTACAGCGCTGAAATTACTTTATGATAAGAGAAAGTGCAGAAATTCTAGTTTTGATCGAACCAGTATTGCTCAGGGCCCAACTCATTGTTTTTTAAATTCTACGAAAATCATTCAAAAATTTTAAAAATAATTGCCAACTAACCTGGCCTGAAACTTCATCACATTCACTGCCAAACGAGCCAATTGTACTGCAGTTACATGGAGGGCACATTCTTTCGATGTCGCCATGTCCGTCCTGGAATAAAACAAATTTATAAGCCGTACTCGATGTACGGTTGCAAGCGACCGCTACTGGATTTGAGATGTTATATCACCTTAATCCTTCCCTATGAGATTAAGAGAACCACAGTCTGAGTCCTAAAGAGTTTGTCTCATTGGAAAATTTGGTTCGCATCTTTTTTTTCGTTCTCGCATACATTTATCATAACGTGACATAAAAGTAGGGTTATCTCAATACAGGATTTACAAGAATGCGATCCTGAAAATTTTTTGAAACTCCAGAACAGAGGAAAAATCCGAAATTTAAACTGAATTCCAACTATTCAAAAAACAAATCCCAGATGTTAGGCAATCATATATCTCACGCACTTTTTGGATGCTCATTAACGTTAATACTTTGTCTGAAAAGGAGAACCTCAAAATATTTCATGAGATTTTAACTATTTTGCGTTTCTCCTTTATTTGTCTCTCTTCTCAGCTGCACCGTTTTCAATGACTCTGCGATTTGACTTGGCAAACGATGAAGATTCTATCATTCTTGTTTGATCAGCGCTTAGACAACGCAGCTTCAACGCAGTCTGTCCGAAAGTATTCTCCCGAAACGCTAGCACTCAACGATATTCTCTTCACGGTGTTATTTCGGATCTCCAGCCAATGCCACGACTATATTTATCTTGAAAATACATCTTCGCTTATAGACTGACTGCACTTCCCTGACATTATACCTCTCACCTGTATCCCTTTCGACGCTGACGCTATTTTCGAACCTGATTCGCGACAGCTACTCATACTTGGTTTGATGTCAAAGTTAACTTATTCTTGGTAAGCTTTTGCACTGTTCAAAAGTTCATCACACTTGCCAGGTTACATCGTTTTTTAAATGGATGCAGGCCAGATACCCTAGAAGCTGTTTATCTGTGAGGCCCTAGACATATTTTTCCGACAACCACAATATGTGGGATCGTCTGCAGGCTGACCGACAAACTATATATAAATGGTCAAAGTAAATGGAAATTACCAGTTCTAATACCTAAAGAGCTATGCTATGAACTGCAGCTGATCAAAGTAGTAAAATAAGTGCCCAGCAAAACCGAAATCACCTACCTTACATCTGTCACACTGCATTCCAACATAATTTCCATAGCATGCACATGCGCCAGTTGAATTATCGCACTTCGCCGATTTCGCACCTTTTGGATGACAGCCGCATGGGCGACAAGACTTATCCTTCGGATTACCCCAGTGATTCTCCTTACACTGTTCACAATGATCACCGGCTGTATTGTAAATACATTTCAGACATTTTCCAGTCACCGGATCGCAATTACCAATTGCCATCGGATCGATGTTTCCACTACAGTCACATAGCTCACAGGTACCGTTCACTTCTAGAGGATTACCGAAGAAACCATCAGCACAACTGAAAATATTTGATACATCAGCCGAAATTTGCATTGTAAGAAATTTTTACCAAACAATTTCAGTTTCAAAAATGATTTAAACACGAAATTTATGCGCAATTTTTTCTTAAAAATGAGAAGTTAATTTCTTAAAATTCTTGAAAAGATCAACACTTTAAAAAACATTTTTCGATCAAATTTGTTTTGTTAAATTACAGCGATATTTTAAAATAATCAAAATTTCAAACCAAATAAAGTAAATTTTTTCCTTCTATCTTTCACTGTTACCCCAGCTAAGACTGACAAAATTTAAGGCAATTTGGCGACAACCAACATACATCAATAAAATACCGAAAAGGCAAAAGCCTCGCAAAGTGCTTTTGTTTGGAGAACCGCCGAACTAGTAATCGCTTCTTGACAAAACGAAGGTGAGGGTTGCCAGGAAGTTGACTGTCGAGTGACACAACATTAGTCAAAGCAACTGAAAAAGTTGCGAGCTGCATAGTTAGAAAGTCAGACTATGAACTGTCGCTAACCAAAATACCATTGTAATTGTGTATATTTTATACCGAGAAGCTTTAATCGTAAAAATTCGTAATTTCAAAAACTCAATTACAGCGGATATAATAAAAGGCGAGCGACTTGCAGGATGGCATTGCGACCAAATGAGGAAGTAAAATCTGATGGAGAAAAAATGCTGCTCTCCTTGTTAAAAATCGGTGGGCATCGCGCATTAATGAGTGGTACCCGTGGGAAAGAAAACAACCATTGGAGTGGCTACCAAAGTCCGAGGGGCCTTGGTATAGCCAAAAAACTTATCATTCTTTTAAAAAGGCCATTCAAAATAATTTAGTGGCCA